AATCGGGCTTAGTTCATTTTAAATCCCTCTTCAAAAGACAACACTGCATATGTTGTTTTTGCACGGGTCGAGATTTGTACATTAGCGGTTCATTTTAATGCGGTTTTTGGAGCCTCTCCTGTTTCGGAAATATTTAGATAAAGTTGTGCTATTTGATTAACTTCGCTTGCTGTTTTGCCTTCATTTTTTGGATATTTGTTGTAAATTCTGGTATGTTAATACTATAATATCTAGAGGAGTATCTTTTGTTTCAAAATACGTGATTACAATTACATGCTGGCACGAACGATGACCAGTAGCAATCGGAAATTTGTGCTTTTTCGTGAAGCACTTTATAACTTTATTTTGCTAGCAAAAAATTCATAATGTATGCCACAATCACGAAAGACTGAAGCGAGCTTTTACACTGAGCGAGTATCAGGATAGCAGTAATTGACTGAGTGCGAAGACAGTTCCTTCTCGGGACAGCAGTTGGAGGATTTTGAACAGATACTTTTTGCGAAAGATGAGCTGCGAGCCCTTCGGAGAACGCTCATCGAAATGAGGCAGGGAAGTTGGGATACCGCTGGTCGTAATAAGTGTAAAAGATGATTTCTGAAGGAATTGTCTGAATTGGTGCGCGCTTTGTCGCCCCTACCAACAATCGTACAATGTCACAGTATCAGGGATATCACACAGGCCGGCGGTCAAATAAGGCTTCCAGCGGTAGTGGTTGGCATTGTTTATTCCGGTTCCTCATTTTCCTGTAGAATGCTTTCTTCGGGTTTTTGTACATTCAGAGCAAACTGACCGATTCGGTTGTTGTTCCCAGCGGGTCTGTAGAATGCAACAATGACCTGTTCACCGTTTATTTCTTCACCGGCTCCCTGCAGCTCCGGTGCTGCCGATTCGGACCATACAATCGATCGTCCAATACCTATCTGAATTTCGATAATTTGTGAATTAGTCCTGAAGATACTTAGAACACTGGTGCTAGTATTCCAGCTCTATGTTTGCTCAATAATTCTTGAAACGATATGCTATCCCGGTGGAGAATGTGTTTTTGTTCCAATTTGAAGTGCTCTTTCTGTCTGGTGGGGATACTGAAAAAGTCCAACAAGTTGTAAATCGACTGAGCAGCTGTGCCTTCAGCAGATTTTTGATTTTTCTCTTTAAAGTTGGGCGTTTGCAAATAAATTTTTGGGAAGGCGCTGCTGGGGCAGTCCGTGCCTTTAGCATCAAAGAAGCAAAGCAGCGGGGTTCTTCATCGTCTAATGGCTAATTCTGTCATCAGTCGATGAAGAAAGGGGTTAGAGATTAGCCGGCCTAACGTGATGCTGTGCAATATTGCGTCTCCAAACTGAAACATCACTCTTTAAAAAAGCGAAATGCGGGAAGAACTCCTGCTCTCTATGCTTGTGTGTAGGTATATTTGTGTGCGTCTAAAAAGTCGCATTTACATTCTAGCGGTTCATGGAATGTTGTGGGCACAAGCAAAACAATCTGTGGTCGGTAGCAGATGGGTCCAGGGACATTTCTTTCAGCCTTATAGGCTAGGAATTCAATTAATTATAAGCAGAAGCCCATTTGTACCAAATAAAGCGAGGAGATCGATGGGCACACTATGTTCACAAAAAGCGTTGACAGGCAGCTTCGTAAGTGACGATTCTATTTGGAGACAGACCGTTTTTCGTGCGCGATAATTCCACAATACACAGAGGAATTGTTTAGGTGGTTGGACGAACGCTATAAACATCTTTCATTTTCCGTTCATCATTTAAGCGCGATGTAAGCAGTGCATCTTCTGCTAGGATATATCATTTCAGTCAATCACCTTTTTGAGTGACAGTAACGCCATATTTGGTGTCTGTTCAAGTTCTGGTTTAACTCCGATAGCGAAAAATGTACTGCGTTCGGTCCTATGGGATACCGTAAGCCGTAGTGCATTAGGTAATTCATGCTGTAATTTGTGCTTTACTGTAAACAGGCACATCAAATTTGAGAGTTTTTAAGAATTCGTAGTAAAGTAATTCTCATAGCAGTCCTCAGCGAATCATGACAAAGATGAAAAAAAAAAAAAGTTGTATTTGCAGCAACTGCTGCATAAAAATCTACGATTACGAAATGACACTCAACTGAATGCTTTGTGAGCAGAAGGAAAGCGCAGTTTGTAAATCTAGGCAGCGACGTACCAGGCTCGCCGGTGCGATCATGTGTTTTTGCACAATATCATATGGAGAGGTCGCTGTACCATCGGAAGTGGTGTTACAATTTGAATATTTGTTGCACCTGCACGCAGGATCCACGTCTAGACAGAAGCTCATCTTACGCTTAATGGCTCGCATATGAACAGCAAAAAGCCTCAGAAAAATACTGCTTCTTGTTCAGCCTGGTTGCCGAGTTAAGTGGGTGCCAGAAGAGTCCCAAACTGAACTTTTACTTGCGCGCACGCGAGAACTAGGTGTGCCTTAAAGTTGTATTTGAAATATTTCGGTCACACATGAAAATAGAAAATCCCCTCCCCCCTCCAAAATTTCAGCTTTTCAATTTAATTGGTTAGCAAATTCGCTTTTTGTTACAACTATCTATGTCGTATC